AGGGAGCCCGATGCGGGGCTCGATCCCAGGACCCTGGGATCACGACCTGAGCCGAAGGCAGACGCTTAACGACTGAGCCACCCAGGCGCCCCTATCACTTGGTATTTCTTTGCAAAAAGCTATATACATTTAAATTTTAAAAAGATTCCTGTGACCATAATGCTCTCGGGAGTTATTTCTTCTAAACTGAATTACCATGGTTGAGATTTATTCTGAATGTAATTAGCATTTTAAGTCTTGTTAGTACAACACTTGATCAAGTCACTATAATTGTATTAAAAATTTTTATTATAACTAACATTTACATAACACCGCACTAGGCATAGTTTTAATGCTTTAACAGGGTGAAGCCTATACAAAGTTTTGGAACTAGAGGACTAAGGTTTGTCTTTTAGTCATTTACAAATTAGGTGACATTGGGCATGTCACTTAATTTCTTAGAGCCTTAGTTTCTTTATGTAAACTAAGAATATATCCAAACATGAAGTTCTTGGGCAAATTTAAGATAACGTATAAAAAGCCAGTTTAGGGCGCCTGGGTGGCTCAGTTGATTAAGCGACTGCCTTCGGCTCAGGTCATGATCCCGGAGTCCTGGGATCGAGTCCCACATCGGGCTCCTGGCTCAGTGGGGAGCCTGCTTCTCCCTCTGACCCTATCCCCTCTCATGCTGTTTCTCTCTCTCTCTCAAATAAGTAAATAAATAAAATCTTAAAAAAAAGCCAGCTTAAAAAGTAAAGTTCTATGCAAATGTAAAATACTTTCCAGTAGATGAATTTTATTATACTGAAGATTACATTTTGGACTCTCTATGTTCCTTTTTTTTCCCCCCCCTTAGGGTGAGAGAGTGGGGGTGGGGAGGGGCAGAGGAAGTGAAGAGAATCTTAAGCAGGCTTTATGCCCAGCTCGGAGCCCAACTCGGGATTTCATCCCATGACCCCAAGATCATGACCTGAGCTGAGATCGAGTCAACCACTTAATCGACTGAGCCACCCAGGTGCCCCTCTACCTTCATTTTTCTAATTCTTAAAGGAGATAGCTACTTATTTTAGTAAATGTGTTCGGTACTGTTAGGCAAGTCTAGCAGAACTATTTTGTTTCCTGGATTCTGTATTTTTCTTCCATGCTTTTTAAACTTTATAGATACATGAAGTTATTAATAGTGGACATACTTTTTTGATCCCTCATGTTTATGATAATCTAGGAATATCCTGTTCAGTAGCGTATTCATGCCATGTCTTATATTTCTGGAATTTAATTTCTATTGAAAATGCCTGATTAAGTTGACAAGAGGCATGATAAAATCTACAGCTGAGTATTAGCGTTCTCCAATTTACCAGTGGCTAATTGGGGAATTTCTGGGAAATCATACCTAGAATTCTGACTCTTTTGTACTGGTAAATGTATCCTGGCCACCTACATCAGTAGTTCTCTGTATTTTGCAGCAATGGACACATCTCGAGAAACCTTGGTGATGACATTCAGATGTACCAAACATAGCTCTAAACTATTAACTCCCTTCCCTAATCTACTCAGCAAATCATAGTAAGAATAACACAAGGGTGGATTTGAATCCTCTGCATTTGCATTTTGTTTTAAAATTAAAGATGGAGCATGCTTCAATATATATATAAGAACACATTTTTTTGGTTATATCTCCCAACTACTTTAAGCATTCTTTTTGGAAATCCTTGGTCTGGTGTTCTCTCTAGGTCTGTACTGTACAGTAATGTGGCCATTAGCTGCATACGGCTATTGAGCACTTGAAATGCGGCTAGTGTGAGTGAGGAATTGAATTTGTAACTTAAGTAAAAGCCAAAACTCCACTCAAGTTGGAAAAGTTTTAAGTGTTTGGAACAATGTATTAGTGTACTAGGCTGCCACAAAGTACTGTAGACTGGGTGGCTTAAGTGATAGAAATTTATTTTCTCTTAATTCTCAAGCTAGAAGTCCCAAGATCAAGGTGTTGGCAGCTTTGGTTTCTTTTGAAGCCCCTCTCCTTCGCTTGCAGTTAGATGCCTGTCTTCTGTGTCCTCATGGATTGCCGGTTGGTCTGTGTGTTACTTGTGTTCTAATATCCTATTATAAAGATACCAATCCTATTGGATTAGGTCCACCTGTATGATTTATTTTAATTATCCTTTTAAAGGCTCTGTCTCCAAATACAGTGACATTCTGAGGTACAGATATAGGACTTCAGCAGGAATTCTGGGAGAACATGATGCAGCCCCATGCAAATTAGGTATGTCCGTTTACTTTTTCAGCTGAAAATTTTTTTTGGTTGTCTTGGTCCATATTTCAGAATTGTCACGATTACTAAATAAGAGATTTTTAATGTCACTCCAACAGAATATAGCTGGTATATGAATCAAAAAGTCAACTTTGGTCTTACTTAGTTGCTGTTGTATTCTTCTATATAAAGTTCCTTTAATGCTTTTTGAGAATCTATTATGTACCATACTTCAGTAGATGCTGTAGAAAAATCATTTACAAACCTTACTGTGAAGAGTTCAGCCTGCAGCAGGCCATTCAATACAATAGAAATGTAATTTCATATGTAACTTAAACTTTCCCAGTAAGCCCGTTAAAAAGATAAAACAAATGAACTTAATTTTATATATTTAACTTAATATCTAAAATGTTATTTCAATATGTGATCAGAATAAGCAAATATTAATGAAATAGTTGACTTTTTTAGAGAAAGATTTTCATTTGACAGCATGAGTGAGCGTATGAGCTAGGGGGAGGGGGAGGGGCAGAGGGAGAGGGCAACCGGACTCTCTGCTGAGCAGGGAGCCCAGTGCCACAGGGGGCTCAATCCCAGGACCTTGGGATCACAACCTGAGCTGAAGGCAGACACTTAACCGACTAAACCACCCTGGAGCCCCAGTAGTTGACATTTTTTGTACTAAATCTGCAAACACCAGTGTGTAGTTTACACTTGCAGCACATCTGAATTCACATTGTTAAATTTTCTTCAGAAATACCTGATCTGTATTTAATGATGATTTGTGATATCTAGATGTTAAAAATTTGTCATTCATATCAGCAAGGAACAAATGATAGACTCAAAATTTTGGAATATACTTCATACACAGGGAATAAAATACTCCTTTCCTAAGGAAAAGCCTTTGGAAATGGATATTGGAGATAGAATTGGGACTGAAACCTGGGTTTTCTGACTATATATTTTTCCTAAAATCAGCGTGGCATTTTTGTTATTTAAATTAAAGCACTATGCCTGCTTTGAAACTTGGAAAACTTGCAGGTTATTTTTTTTTTTAAACTTTGTGGATGGCCAAGAAATCTCTGGCTAAAGCTACTGCTTAAGGATTGTGCTATTTTTGTTATCTGAGGCTAGCTAAGATATCTAAGAGACAAAGTAGTGGATTTTTGGGTTTCAGGGTTAATCCTTTTACTTTACTCTCCTGCTATATTAGAAATCCATCCCAGGTAGTTGTCAAGTCTCTTAAATGTTCAATGGGAAATTTACTCCTTTGACTAGTGACACTTTCCTTGGTGTATAACCCATATAATTGTTGGAATTCTTTTTATTCTCTTACATTTATTTCTAACTTGCTAAGACTTGCTGCTGTAACTATATTTCATGTGTTTGATGTAGTTTTTTCCCCCTGTACTTTAGTTGATTTTCATATCTACTTAGTTTTTGTCGTTCTTTTAGTGTCATTATATTTGATGACAAAAATGTTTGGCTTATCCTCATTGTTAATGGGCAAATTGTTTCTTTTGCCTTAAGTAATATCTCATTAACTTTATAAGCCAGCTTTTCCACATCATCTAGAGAATCAATTTCCTGTGTTTTACTGGTATTATGTGTAACATCCCCACCTCATCTTTCCATATTAGCATTTTAATAGCTCCATGCTTCTAGAAGCAAAAGCTTCCAAAGTGAGTGTAAAAATAATCTTAATTATCTAAAAAAAATGTTGTAAATTGATACATTGTAGCATTATCAGAAATAAGGGTATTCTTTTAGATGAAACCATTGAAAATACCAAGTGATGTTATGAGGGCAGTTTTAATATTCACAATGCTAAAATGTTATGGCTTGATCACACACACACAAAAAATCTGGGTTTTGATGCATTAACACCAGATATCTTTTGAGATTTTCTAGGAAAATGAGGTGTGTTTGTGCATTAACGTCCCATCAAATGAATTTTATTATCTTTTTTTTCTTGGTTAAATCCATCAGAAAGTTATTCTTTGTAGGTGGCAAACAGATGCTCAAACAGATATCATTCTAAGAGTATTCCTATGTCTTTATCATACCATTGTCTTTGAAGGTACTCATTTATCGCAGTGGAATAGTTTCTTTTGTTTTTATGACTTCCAGAGAATTTAAGCTTTTGATTTGCTTTTAGGTCATGTGTAAGGTTGTGGCTTCTGGCCCAAGGGCTGTTGTTTTGAGGCAACTTTATTTTTCATTTTCAAAGTAGGAAGACTGTTGCCATTTATTCCTGATGTTGTGAGTAGTGAATCGTGTGCGTAGGGAGTTGGGGGGCAACTTGAGGAAACCTAGTGTTTGCAGGGCGGGTGTGTTTTCTTTCGTGTCCCTCTGAGAGAGCCGTCTGGCTTCTTTGCTTGAACGCGTTCAGTTAACTCTGTGCATTTGAGGAAACATACACCATTGTTGGACAACTGGTTGTTAAAGATGTGTATTTAAAATAGGCTGAAATAGACCTTTCATTCTCTTATTTTCCTACTATAATGGTACGGAAGACTTTTACTTGATTTCTACTTAGCTACCTTCAGATACTGAAAAACCTTAACCAAACCCTTCCTCCTTTTTTCTCTTCTTCCACGCTAAATCCTGTAGTCATTTGTGCCGTGATCATTTGAGTCCCTGTACGAGGAGCTCTTCTAGGCACTGGAAGACATACTAACAATTTTCTTTAGTTTCATACTTTACAGATCCACTAAACCAGTATGGGTATCCGTAATCTACTCCTGGAAAATCAGGTGTTCTTGTCAAGAATGCTTATTGGGAGCCTTTTTTTTTTTTTTTTTTTTTAAGACTTCTTTATAGGGAAGTTCTAGGTTTACAACAAAATTGAGAGGAGGATTATATAGGTTTCCCGTGTGCCCCCTGTACATGCATAGCCTCCCCCATTATCACCACCCATCAACCACAGTGGGACATTTGTTACAATTGGCAAAACCACACTGATACTACATAATCACTCCCAAGTTCATAGTTTATATTGGTGTTATACATTCTATGGATTTGGACAAATGTATAAAATATATCCATCATTATAGTATCATAGTATTTTTACTGCCCTAAAAGTCCTCTGTGCTCTGCCTATTTATCTAAATCCTCCCACCCCTAGCAACCACGTAGCTTTTTATTTTCTTCATAGTTGTGCCTTTTCCAGAATGTCATAACTTGGAATCATAGAGTATACAGTTTTTTCGGATGGACTTCTTTAACTGATTATGCATTTAAGGTTTCTCTGTCTTTTTATGGCTTGGTAGCTCATTCCTTTTTTAGCACTGAATAATATTCCATTGTCTGGAGTTACTGTGGTTTGTATATACTCTTATCTACTAAAGAACTTCTTGGTTGCTTCCACGGTTTGACACTTATGGAAAAGGCTGCTGTAAACATTTGTGTGCAGGTTTTTGTGTGGACATAAGGTTTTAACTTCTTTGGATAATGCCTCGGAGCATGATTGCTGGATCGTATGTTCAGAGTATGTTTAGTTTTGTACGAAACCACCCAACTGTCTTCCAAAGTGGCAGTACTGTTTGGCATTCCCACCAGCAATGTGAGACTTCTATTGCTCCACATCCTTACCAGCATTTGGTGGTGTCAGTATTCAAGATTTTGGCCATCATTATAGGCTTTGTTATTACATCTGTGATAGTGTTATTTTTTATTTATTTTTTAAAGATTTATTTATTTGTCAGAGTGAGAGAGCACAAGCAGGGAGAGAAGCACGCTCCCTGCTGAGCAAGGAGCCCGATGTGGGACTCGATCCCAGGACCCTGGGACCATGACCTGAGCCGAAGGCAGATGCTTAACGACTGTGCCACCCATGCGTCCCATGATAGTGTTACTTTAAATTGCATTTGATGATGTGGAACATCTTTTCATATGCTTATTTGCCTTCTGTGTATCGTCCTAGGTGAGGTGTTAAGGTCATTGGCTCATTTTATATTTGGGTTGTTTTCTTATTTTTGAGTTTTAAGTGTTTCTTGTATATTTGAAATACAGCCCTTTATCAGATGTGTCTTTGGCAGATATTTCCTCCTTCTGTGACTTGTCTTATTCTCTTGGCATTGTCGTTTGCAGAGCAGAAAATTTTAATGTTAATGAAGACCAGTTTATCGATTATTTCTCCATGGGTTGTACCTTTGATATCATGTCTAAGAAGGCCTAACCATACCTGAGGACATCTAGGTTTACTCCTATGTTGCCTTGTAGGAATTTTATTATTTTGCATTTTACATCTATTTTGAGTTGATTTCGGTGAAGGATGTAAGTAAGATCTGCATCTAAATTACTTTTTTGCCTGCAGATGTCCAGTTGATCCAGCACCATTTGTTGAAGAGGCCATCTTTGATCCAATGTATTGCTTATGTCGGAAGACTGGTTGACTGAGTCTGTTTCTGGGCTGCCTTATTTTCCACTGATGTATTTGTCTAATCTTTTGCCAATACTACACTGGGGAAGCTTCAAGTTTCTTACCATTAAGTATGATGCTTGCTCTAAGTACTTTGTAGGTAGTCTTTATCAAGTTGAGAAACTTTACCTCTGTTTCTAGTTTACTGAGAGTTTTGATGATGAATGGGTGTTGGATTTTTTCAAATGTTTTTTCTGCACATAGTCCTATAATCCTATTATTTTTCTTTTTTAGTTGATGCAATGGATTACACTGATTTTTCAAATGTTGACTCAGCCCTGCATACCTGAAATCTAACTTTGTTGTCATGTATAATTCTTTTTATACTTCTCTTGGATTCATTTTGCTAATATTTTGTTAAAGCTTTTTGCATCTATGTTCGTGAGAGAGATCAGTCTGTAGTTCTCTTAAAATGTTTTTGTCTGGTTTTGGCATTGGGGTAATGCTAGCATCAGAATGAGTTAGGAAGGATTCCCTCTGCTTTGATCCTCTGAAAGAGATTGTGTAGAATTGACATCCTCTCCTTGTCACATGTTTTGCAGAATTCACCAGTGAACCCATCTTGGTATTGTCCCTTCTATTTTGGAAGGTT